CGCATCATTGCACTCCAGCCTGGGTAACAAGAGCGAAACTCCGTCTCAAAAAAAAAAAAAAAAAAAAAAAAAAAAAAAAAGGGTATTATAGAGATGCAACTTGTTATTATTGCTATTTGCCAAACTGATGTTATTCTCCATTTCAGCTACATTGTCACAGGTGACATTAAGGGTAACATCAAGTTCTATGATCACACCCTGTCCATTGTTAACTGGTACAGTCACTTGCAACTGAGCGCCATAAGAACTCTGTCCTTTTCAAAGACCCCAGCAACTCCTCCTACTGAAAAATCAAACTATCCTCCCGACTGCACTTTAAAAGGTGACCTTTTTGTCATAAGGTAAGTTGTTAATGAATCTAGTCGTTAGAATGGTTGAAAAATGATGGATGTCTTCTTTAGTTTGCATGCAGTGGGAGGTTCGTGTTGTTCCTGGAATTTCTCCCTGGCTGATTGTGATAACTATTGGATCATTAAAAAAATTCATGAAACATGATTTTAATATTACTCTTTAGTAACTGGAAGCTGGAAAGTCCTGATCCCTGAGCTCTCACCTCTGTTGAGTCTTTCACTGCAGGTTGGTCTGTTTTCTTTAAGCTGAGCTTGTCCTAGCCACTGCGGTTAAAGCCACTGGATAATTAATTGCCATAACATTTCAAGACCGAATTATCTGTGAGTCTGCTTAATTACCCTTGCAGTATTTACAGGCACATCTGTATGTGTGCACCAAACTCCATATTTGCATACACAAATGAATATTTGCATGTGCAGATTAGCTAATTGTACAACTGACTGTCCATCTGCATACTTAATGACTCAATTTACATGGAGAAAAGTGGGCTTTTTCACTTGCAAATGGAAGCTGTTGGGTATTGGTAGTATATTTTTGGAAATGTTGGGTTAATAATGTCACTAAATTACAGACGACAGAGGCGTTTTATGTGCAATTAGAAGCAGAATAGCTGGCATGCCCCATTCCCTGCAAACACTGATATTGTTTGGTCTCTCCTGGCAAACAGGAATTTTATCATTGGAACATCTGATGCCACCATGTACCACTTAACAACAGATGGGACCAAACTTGAGAAGTTATTTGTAGAGCCCAAGGATGCCATTTGTGCCATCTCCTGCCACCCATATCAACCCCTCATTGCCATCGGGAGCATCTGTGGGATGATCAAAGTGTGGAATTATGAAAAGAAGCGATACCTTTTCAGCAGGGTTTTTGAGAAGGGGCTTGGAGTCCAGAGTCTGACCTATAACCCAGAAGGTATTTTCATCTTATCAGCCTCCCATCTATTCCACATGGAGCACAGCCCGGGAGGAGACGGATGCACCTGGGCTGGCATGGCTCCAGGAAGCCCCCGACTCCAGCCCCCAGAGACATCTTCTCTCTCGGGCTCCCGCAGTGTTCTGGGCCTGGTGCTCTTGATGTGCTCACCCCAGGAGCTGATGTGTTTCAGTTAATTTCTCCTCTGTTGTGTTTGTTGCAGTCTTCCCCACACCCAGCACAAAGCCTGGCACAGACTCAGCATCTCCTGAATGAATGAAATCCTTTGCCGTCGTTGTTCTCTGGCTTGTCATTTCAGGAGCCCTTCTTGGAGCTGGCTTCACAGAGGGAACAGTTTACATTCTTGATGCAATGTCTTTAGAAAATGAAAGCCCAGAGCCTTTCAGATACTCCAGAACCAGTGTGACTCACATCAGCTTTTCCCATGACTCCCAGTACATGGCAACTGCTGTAAGCGTTTTCACCAACAACCCAACCAGTGGCTTAGCACTTTCATTTAAAACCACAAGAGGCCGGACACAGTGGCTCATACCTGTAGTCCCAATGCTTTGGGAGGCTGAGGTGGGAGAATCATCACTGGAGGACAGGAGTTCAAGATGCCTAGGAAACATAGCAGGACCCCATTGCCATAAAAACATTTTTTAAAAATTACCAGGCCTTGTGGCACACATCTGTAGCCCAGCTATCCAGGAGGGGCTGAGGCGGGAGGACCCCTGGGTGCCAGGAGTTTGAGCTCCCAATGAGCGACAGGGCAGTGCTGCTGGTCTGCCTTTGCTAAATCCCTGTCCCTTCCAGCACTTTCCCATCTCCATGGTGCCACGGCCACTCCTCTGCTTTGTGTGCACAACGCTTCTGGAGCCAAAGCATCTCAGCACACCGTGGGTGCACACAGCTCAGGCCCTGTGTCCCCTCAGGTGGGGTTCTCCCACTCTGACTGGGTTCATTCTCAGCCTT